AACCTTGCGTTGTGGGTATCACACGAGACATTGCGCTATGCAGAATGTTTGCAAATTGTACAAGTGGTGGTTTGAGCGTAACAAAGTTGTAAAATAGTTATGTTTTATGTTAATAAAATGATGTATATTGCACTCGTATGACTTTTATTTCACCTTTTATCCAGTACGTTTACCCGTATCATTTACATGATCCTCCATGTCATATGACCTATCGCTTATCCCGCGACGTATAATAGATTATACGTAAGAACATTTATGTGACATATAATATGATCTGTCGCTTATCTCACAAGATATAATAAATTATTAATTGTAAGAATATCTATTGAAACATCTTTCAGACATTTATCGAACATCTATCGAACGTCAATCGAACGTCTATTGAACGTATATCGAACGTCTATCGTACATCTTTGAACGTCTATTGAACATCTATGGAACGTCTATCGAACGTCTATCGTACGTCTCTCGTACGTCTTCGAACGTCTATTCAACGTGTATTGTACGTCTTTGAACGTCTATCGAACGTCTATTGAACATCTATGGAACATCTATCGTACGTCTTTGAACGTTTATTCAACGTCTATCATACGTCTTTGAACATTTATTGAATGTCTATCGTACATCTTTGAACGTATATTGAACGTCTATCGAATATCCATTGTACATCTCTCAAACCACATTCAACGTCTATCGATTGTTTATCGTGTGATTTTTAACTACTTTTAGCATTTGTAGAGATAAACTTTTTTTTTTTTCCTCCTTCTAAAAGAAGAATTGACATTATGCTACCTTTGCAAATTATATAATTTAAGACATGTGCTATCAATGCGCTTTTGTATTTGAAGATCGTATAATTTAAGATGTGTGCTACCGTTGTTCTTTTACATTTAAGGATTATATAATTTAAGATGTGCTCTTTTTGCATATGATGTGCTTTGTTTATTTAAATACATTTTTGTCACGTATTGAGGAAAGAAGATATGGATGTCTCTCGTAGGATGGACATATAGATTTGTAACACATCTTAAAGGTGCGAGTATAAAAATGCATCAGAGGCTCGGACGGCCACAAGTCCTCCTACAGTTCGCGAGAGCCGGTGAGATAGCGCATCAGTTTTGTGAGCGAGCCAAATTAAAAAAGAAAAAAAATGAAATTCTACAACATCGAAATCGAACAAATTTTGGCATTGGTCACAGTCGTAGCTGAAAGAGCTAGATTATTGACGGACGTAATGCATCGTTTTCAAATATCGGTGCAGGAGATGCAGCAAAATGTTCCGGATTCCTTCCGGATCACGTACAACATAGAAGGAAATGAGCATGGGGCGATAATACTTTCAATGTAAGTAACTTTCTTATTACATACTCATTCCGTGTCACTTATACACATGTACAATTGTTGTAACTTATAGTTTCATTTCTTAATTGTATATTTTATGATTTGTTTCCAGAGCGGAAGCCAAAAATAATTTGACAACGGTGATGACGCAAATAAATGTTATGATCACACTGTTCCAGCAGATGGAACAAGATACAATCAGCACGAACGATATAATAAGTGCTGTAATGACTGTGTTATTCACGGATTTCTCCATTTAATTGTAGGTATCACAGTTTTTTTCTTTTATTTGTAGAAATCGTTTTATTTATAATTTTTTTATTTTCTGTGTTACAGATGATGATATTCAGCAAATTTTTTTTATATTATATATGTATATTATATTATATATTATATTATATTATAATGTTTTCTTTTATATTTTTATAATTTATTATTTTAATATTTTTTGTAAAGTAATTTATTATGATGTCTTACACTTAAATTTACATATTTTTATTCCTGTGTGATGTTAGCATATAACAGAGGACATGTCTTATTACTATATATATACACTGCTGGACAAAATTATAAGACACTTGGTATATATCTATATATCATATATTCAAAACAAGAAACTGTACATTTCATATGCCATTTTTATTACTTGTCATCTCTTGGATGAGTAAACAAAATTTCAACTTCGTCGGCAATATAATATAAAAGTGAGGAAAAAAAAACGTGAACATAGACGACTTATGGTTGGACAAAATTATAAGACATCAATCCATGATTAGCATTTCTGCTGTGAAAATTTCTCTCTAAATGGCAAATTCTATTATATTAATATTTGGTGAAACCTCCTTTCAATTGTATCACATCTAACAACCGATTCCGCAGTGTCTTATACAATTTTTAATACGTTTTTGTGGTAGCGCGTTCCAATTATGAACAATACTCTCTTTCAGTTTATTAATATTGTTGAACTGCTTGCCATCTGCATAAACACTTCTGGATAAATCTCCCCAAATATTTTCTATGATGTTCAGGTCGGGTGAACGGGCAGGCCATTTTAAAACTTGAATTTTCTTTGAAATAAAAAATCTCTGAACAGCTTTTGCGGTATGAGTAGCAGCATTGTCTTGCTGAAAAATATAATCTTGATTTGCAATATGACCTGCATACTTATTTAATTGTTCGTCTATCAATTTAATATATTTTTCGCTATTCATACGGCCTGGTATGAAATTTATTTGTGTTTTTCCGTGGTAACCAATACCGGCCCAAACCACAACACTTCCGCCGCCCATTTGGCGACGACTTAAATATTCTTCATTTTTCCGCAAATCATGGAAATAAAAGTTCCACCCATCAGGCCCGTCCAAATTAAACTTTTTTTTATCACTGAAGATGACTTTTTTCCAATTCTTCATCCAATGAACATGTTGACGACCGAACTCCAATCTTCCTACTTTGTGCTGTTCGGTTAAAGGAGGCCGTTGTTTCAACTTCTTGCGTTTCAGGTGCTTGCTCTTCTGTAGAATACGACGCACGTTTCTCAAATTTGTGTGGACATCAGCTTCTACGGCGATTTGCCTTGCAGTTCCCTTGAAATTAGAAGCAATTTGCAAAATTTTACGCTTTTCGCGTTCAGATACAGCACGAGGTCTTCCACTCCTCTTAGTTTTCCCATAGGTTTCTGGATCTTTAAGAACATTATAAATAACACACCGACTTCTGTTCAATAATTTCGCAATTTTCGTGATGCTATAGTTTTCTGAGTGCAAAAGGATGATTCGGTCGACTTCACTTTGATTTAGTTTGGTCCCACGAGGCATTATTTGTTACTATCCTGAATACGTGCACTAATATTATCAAAACTACTGCTGATTTATATTTCTATATCCACTAGAAGTCGAATAGCTACTGATAGGAGGTGTAAGAATGTCAAACAAATCAAGTGTCTCATAATTCTGTCCAACCACCGTCAGCCTTTGTTTACATTTTTTTCTCTGACTTCTGTGTTGTATTTCCGCCGAGTTTGAAATTCTGTGTATCTATTCAGAAAATGGTCAGTTACACATAGCGTGCATGAAATATACACTTGCATAGATTTTTGCAAAAGAATATAAATAAGTGCGAAGTGTCTTATATTTTTGTCCAGCAGTGTATATATATATTGTATATACAGGGTGTCCCATTATAAAACATCCACGCAAATTACTCCGAAGATAAGGGTGATAGCAAAAAATGACCTTAACAAACATTGTAGGATTAAAAGGGGGCCAACTGAGGGTGACTTTGATTTTGACTCGCAGTTGATTTTCAAGGTCATTTGAAGGTCAGAGTAATTTTTTTAAATAGAAACCCCTATTTTTGATTCCAAAATCTAATAGCTGGTGTCAAGAGCTTTTCAAAACACTATAATGAAGTTATTTTTCATCAAGTACTTTTCGAGTTATGAGGCTTGTAAATTACAGTATTTTGACATAAAATACAAAATATCTT